CCCTCATGGTTTATATCTCCGTTGAATTCAGAAGGGATTTAAGCAGAAATGGATAGGGTCTAGCTAGCCTCAGGGTATACGGATCAAGAGATAGCAGTCTGACTTTGAAGTCTGAGAAGTTCAATCTAAAGCTGGGGGGTATTCTATAATAAAAGGAGCAACCTATATCTTAAAATCACAGTACAATGGAAATGTCCTGGAGGCTAAAGGCTGCTGGGTTACTTTACTACCCGGGGATGCTGTCCCCTCGGCCTCTGTGGGGAAGGGGGGTTGCTCCTGGCAGACTTCACTGGACCCCTCCTCCCACCTCCGCCCAGAAGTAAAGTCCCATGACATTATGTCACAAAGGAGGGCCTGGTGCCACCTTCTTGCAGACGGATCATGGTCACGGTGCTTTGTTTCTTTATGTACAATAAATGCTTTCTCTGATCTTTGTCCAAGTCCCTCATTTTCAGTCGTGAAAGTGGCTGATTGTATGCTTTTTAGACTGTATGCGGGTAAAGGTTGGACCTCAGCCCTCCAGAAATTCCCCTAACAAAACAGCTGCTATCACTTATTGAGCATATACTGTATACAGAGCAGTCTCCATCCTATCTAGTTATAGATGATCCTCAAAGCAACCTGCAAGATAGGTATTTCCCCCCATTTTTAAAAGAAGCTGATCCGATGGAAGTTGAACCCTGATTTTTCTGGCTTCAAAGGCCATGTACGTATTCTTTCTTCTACAGTGTCCATCAAAGAATAAAAATGCTTCTCTCCTCTTTAAATATCCCCATCGCCTTTACAAGGAACCTCATTCAACACCAGGCCACCCCACAAAGCCAAGCTAAAGGCCCAGAAACAAGAATTGTAAGGGCTTAGCAGTCCCATCTTAAAAACAAGAACAACAAGAATATTTACTTGGTGCTTTCTGTTCTAAGAGCTGCTATAGACGCTTTCCACGTATGGCGTAATCTAACCCAATATTCACAACAACCTATGAGAGGATACCACAGATGTATATACCTTAACCACTGGTCCAAAATCTAAAAAGCTCTGAACATCAAAAACAAGTTTGACCGAGCTCATATGGAACAATTACAGGCAGTGGTATTCAATCATTACAATCAGTAGGGTAGAATATATTTGTAAGAATACTATGATGTTTCTTTATTTGCACAAGCTACTAAAATTACTCTCATTGAGTATCTTTTCCTTTCCAATCCTTCCCACGTGGGCTAGTCTCAATATTTAAACAATTGGCTACAATACCACTAGAATGTCTTTCTTCAACAACCCGATGCAATAAACCGTAGCTTTTCTTATACTCCACTTTCCAAAAACACACACAAAAACGTTTGATGCTGAAGTATGGTAGCAATCATCTCAGGTAGAAACTATAGTTTAACTTTAACCCTGCTGTTTGGTTTCTGTACTTATTTGCTTGCTAAAATAATAGAAAAGTTATTTTGATTTTCTGAATTATATAAATCATCCCATTCGATTAAATACCCTATTGATTGTAATGTGAATATCCCATTGGTTGTGGTCATACTGGTCTTAGAAAGCACATTCTTCTGTACCTGGGAAGGACAGCACAATTATGCCAAGGTCAGAGGGCTCCAGATAACGTGTCCCTCTAGATAGACCCAAGGGCTCTAGATAATGTGTTTCTGTCAATTCAGTGATCCTGAGACCCAAAACTATAATTTAGATAACATGCTTAAATAAGACTGCTTTTGCTTCTGTAAACTGTCTTTTTGAAAACCAGGTTCCTCATTCCAAACCTTGGGATGTAATCAATACCTGTGTGATCCTTGCCGATATAAATCTGGTGTTGGGGCTGGGGCGGGCACTATGAGATCTGGGAGAGCGAAATGCCCCCTCATAGTCCCAGATTTGCAATAAATGTGACTTTAATTCGACTTCTTGAGGCGTCCTTGTGTGATTCGAGGGGTACTTTACAACAATGCAACTCATTTGATGGCAAACTTAAACTGATATGAGGTCATTCGTAGGTATTATTAATCCCACCTAGTACATTCATATGTTTCTTTTTTTGTTTGTGTGATCTTTGCCTATATAAATCTGGTGTTGGGGCTGGGGCGGGCACTATGAGATCTGGGAGAGCGAAATGCCCCCTCATAGTCCCGGATTTGCAATAAATGTGACTTTAATTCGACTCCTTGAGGCGTCCTTGTGTGATTCGAGGGGTACTTTACAACAATGCAACTCATTTGATGGCAAACTTAAACTGATATGAGGTCATTCGTAGGTATTATTAATTCCATCTAGTACATTCATATGTTTCTTATAGGAATATTAATGTTTGAAACAGCTCATACTTCCTAGGTTTTTATGTAACATACAACAGTATTTGTACTAAAATATTCTAGAATCTAAAACACCTACCTATCAAATATAGGATTGAGAACTATATTATTATCCCTGTTACAGACAAATAAACGTAGGCACAGAGAGGTTAACTAATATTCTCAAGGTCACACAGCTAGTAAATAGTAGAGCTAGAATTAAAAATATGTCTGAAATGGTGAAAAGAAAATATTTGGAGCACACATGACAGACTAAGGGATAATTTTTGTAAAGGCAAAGGATATGAAGTAACAATTCATTGTAGAGGAAATAGAAATAACTTGTAAAAGATATGAAAAAATGTTTAACCATACTTACAAGAAAAAAATGTAAATTAAAATTATAATGAGGTGCTATTTTAATCTTAGATTGGCAAGTAGTAGAACGCTCAGTGACATTGTGTTGGAGATGTAAAGAAATAGCCATACTTGCCAGGCTGGTGTGGCTCAGTGGGTGAGTCTTGACCCATCAATTCCAAGTTAGGGCACATGCCCAGTTTTGGGCTGAATCCCCAGTAGGGGGCATGCAGGAGGCAGCCAATCAATGATTCTCTCCCATCATTGATGTTTCTCTTTCTCTCTCTCTTTCTCTCTCTCTCTGAAATCCTTCCTCTCTGAAATCAATAAAAACATATTTAAAAAAATATCCACTTTTATATGGTTGATAGTAAGGTCAATCAGTAATTTCTCTTCCCTTGAATATAATTTGTCTGCCACATTACTCAGTAAAAGCAGTAACCTTCGTGTCAGATCTGACAAGAAAATGGTACCAAGAAATATCCACAAATGATTTGAAAAACGAATTTATGCATTTTTTGCTGTTAGTCACATACAATCAGAAAAGCTTGGAGACCCCTGGTTTGAAAAAGTGACCCCCAAAGAGCAAGAATTTGTCAGTGACACTCCCACATGGTCCAGACAGAAGGTGCCCCAGAGTCTGGGGTGTTCCACTCTGCTTAAGTGCTCACGCCTACGGGGAGGCTGAATGAGCCTACTGTAGTTCGATGATACCATCTTTTAAGATCACCCAACTCATTTCTTAATTATGTCCTTGATGTTCAAGGATAATGTATGATTCAAATGTGGCTTCCCACGTTGTTACCTTTCTCACAGGTAGAACATGTGCCGTCCAAGGTCTGGTCATTGCATAATCCAGTATTGGACTCTTGGGAGCGTGGTTAATGTGGGTCCATCCCCAGGAGACGCCCCACCTCTGAGCATTATGACAAAATAAGGTCCTGTGTTTGTCAAAGTGATGCCCAGAGCCTAGAGGACAGACACCCTCAGTTTCCCCAGATGACTTCATGCTGGTACTCTCTCCTCCCAGTGCTGTAACCCAAATTCTTCCACCGAAGACCCTGAGAAGTAAGACAGATCGAAACCTGTGCCTTATTTCTAAAATAAGAGAATTTATAGCTGAGTTGTAATAATTCAGCAGCACACCCAATGCGTTCTTGCTCAACAGCTATTTCTTCTATGGCCTCAGGTTCATTTTATTTTTAAATAATAGTTTACCCTTTTGCAACCCAGAACTCATTGCTCAGTATAAGTTTTGATACATATAAGAAGGAACATGATAAAAAAAAATAACAGTTTACTGATTTTTAGAGAGAGAAACATCGATGGGCTACCTCCTGCACACCCCTACTGGAGATGGAGCCAGCAACTGGGCATGTGCCCACACCGGAATCAAGCCAGCAACCTTTCTGTGTATAGGACAATGCCCAACCAACCGAGCCACACGGGCCAGGGCCATGAACAGTGTGAACTCACCAACTCGTTAGCTGATTGTTGCTTTGGTCTGCCAGGCACCAAGGCTCAGGCTCTCCACAAAGGCTCTTCAGACGACACTGATGAACTGATCTACAGAGCCCTGTTTGCAGAGGTTTGGGGTCTGCCCTCCTGGCTGACTACTGTGGCTGAGTGCTGAACGACTGCACAGCCAGCCTCTTTGGCATTCTCCCTCCTGTGGCTGGACTCTTCCTTCTTTGAATAAAACGGAAACAGACCCATTTTCTTTAGTCAATGACAATACCGTCAGCTGTCCTAGCAGCTTGGATGACCAGACTTTTCTTTTAGCCTCACTGCCTGATGGCAATACTCCAACTCCAGCAATTTCTAGGAGTGAGGAGCAGCCCATGCAGGAAGGGTATGCCGGGCCCCAGGGAACTGGGCTGACCTCAGATCAATTAGGACGGCTGTTGTCAGCCTTAGTTGCAGATTAGAATCATCTGGAGAGCTTTTTAAAAGTAGCGATGCCCGTGTCCCCGCTCCTACCTATTGTGATTTAATTGGTCTGGGGTGGAACCTGGGCACGGATGCCTTTAAAAGCTCCCCAGGTGATATGTGCAGTCGCAATGAAGACCACAGGCTTGGGGTCTTACGTTAAAAGAGAGGATGGGAAGCTGGCATAATTCCCTTCTAAGCTCCCCTCAAGCATCTCCACGCCTTAGCTCAGACATATTTGCAAAAAACTGCAAAGAACGGTGTTAAGGATACAATGCCACGCTTCACAGGCGGCAAGACATTTTCTCACATATTCTTACATTTGACTCTTAAAATAATCCAGTGAGGCAAGCGGGACAGGTATTATTAGCCACAGTTTTCTGGTAAGGACGTTGGTATCCTGAGCCCACTGAGGACCCGGACTTCTGTTTTTTGTTCAGCAACTTTTAAAATTACATAACCGCATACTCTACAGCAGCGGTTCTCAACCTGTGGGTCACGACCCCTTTGGGGGTCAAACGACCCTTTCACAGGGGTCGCCTAAGACCATTGGAAAACACATATATAATTACATATTGTTTTTGTGATTAATCACTATGCTTTAATTATGTTCAGTTTGTAACAATGAAAATACATCCTGCATATCAGATATTTACATTATGATTCATAACAATAGCAAAATTACAGTTATGAAGTAGCAACGAAAATAATTTTATGGTTGGGGGTCACCACAACATGAGGAACTGTATTAAAGGGTCGCGGCGTTGGGAAGGTTGAGAACCACTGCTCTACAGCGACAGTAAATAACCTCGGTGTCACACGGAGGAGGAATATCGCATAGGAATGAAGAGCAAGGGTTTAAAAACCAGACGTAAGAAAGTGAATTATTAGCTCTATGATCTTAGGCACATATATAACCTCTGTGAGACTCAGTTTTCCTCATCTGAATATAGAACAAAAATATAGTGCCACCTTCAAAGGGGCATCAAAGAGATACAACAGTTGATATTCTCATTATATAATCATGCCACAGTTTCCTACTTGTGAACAAATCTCTAAGAATTTTTTTTCCTTAAATGTAGTTGGGCTCCTTTATTCCATTAAGTTTTCTTTGGTCTCAGTCTTTGTCTTTCGTACCTGACACTACTGCATAGGTGAGGTGCTTCACTGGTTTGTGCTGGCGGCATTTCTCATTATTCACCAAATGATTTTATCTAGATCAGAAATCAGAAGCATAGCAAATTCACCATTTACAGTGTTGATTCATTTTTTTTTTTTAGAGAGAGAGGGGGGGGAAACCACATCAATTTGTTGTTTCACTTATTTATGCATTCACTAGTGTCCCGGTGCACAGATTTGTGCACATTGAAAGGAAATTAACTAGAAGAAATATTTAATATTGCTATTCGAGTCTTGCTAATGAAAAGAAAATAGGATTCTACCGAGTCTCCTATCTACCTACTCCAGGACTTCTGTGAGGATCAAATGAGATGAGGCACAGGAAGATGCTTCACAAACATTTGGTTAAACTGTAAAATGTTTGCACCTGGCTATAAAGCAAGTTGGGTTCCTTGGCTGAAGAAACTCTAAGGAGGCTAGTTGCTAGGGAGAGGAAGCCAGGTGTTGCTATGTGACATCATTACCCAGCACCCACAGTGATTGTTTCAGGGCTGGGCTGGGCTGTGGGCCACATTTTAAAAAAATATATTTTATTGATTTTTTTTTTTTTTTTACAGATAGGAAGGGAGAAGGAGATTCAGCTGCTTCCTGCACACTCCCTACCGGGGATGTGCCTGCAACCAAGGTACATGCCCTTGACCAGAATCGAACCTGGGACCTTTTAGTCTGCAGGCCGATGCTCTATCCACTGAGCCAAACTGGCCAGGGCTGTGGGCCACATTTTGCGCCATGGGGTCTTGGCAGCATTGGCTGTGATTTGGTGGGGTGTCACTCGGGGGTGGTGGTGGGGCCTGTGTCCCACTTGGGGGAAGCGAGTGCTGGTTTGTTGGCTCCAGGTCCCTGGTGCCATTTATTTTTAAATGGCCAGTGCACGTCATGGCAGCTCCTGCGTTGAGTGACTGCCCCCTGGTGGTCAGTGCGCATCATAGCTACCAGTCAGATGGACGGACACTTAGCCTCTTATATAGATAGATTAGTTCAGTGGTCGGCAAACTGCGGCCCCTTGAGTGTGGCTCTGCCACAAAATACCATGTGCGGGCGCGCATGTACAGTGCTATTGAAACTTCGTGGCCACACTCAAGGGGCCAAAGAGCCGCATGTGGCTCGCGAGCCGCAGTTTGCCGGCCACTGGATTAGTTGATTCTTGTATGTGCCCTGACTGGGGATCAAACCCACAACCTTAGCGTATAGAGAAAACATTAACTGAGCTACCCGGCAGACTTTCCTTATTTTTAATGACCTGACAGTTTTGAGGTGTTCTGGTCAGGTGTTTGTATGATGCCCCTCTATTGCAATTTGTCTGATGCTTTTCTCACGATTAGACTGGGTTTATGTGGTTTGGGGAGGAGGATCGCCGAGGTAAGGTGCCATTTTCATCACATCATATCAACGGCACATGCTATTTGATTTTTTTAAAATATATTTTATTGATTTTTTACAGAGAGGAAGGGAGAGAGATAGAGAGTTAGAAACATCGATGAGAGAGAAACATCGATCAGCTGCCTCCTGCACATCTCCTACTGGGGATGTGCCCGCAACCCAGGTACATGACCTTGACCGGAATCGAACCTGGGACCCTTCAGTCCACAGGCCGACGCTCTATCCACTGAGCCAAACCGGTTTCGGCAGTGCTGTTGACTTTAATCACCTGGCTGAGGTCCCCTTAGGTTTCTCCACTGTGGTTACTCCCCTTTCCATACTGACGTTTTAGCAGGAAGTCACTATGTACAGCCCACACTGGGGGAGTTATGCGCCCCCCCCACCCTTGACAGTGGAATATCATTTGATTGGAATGCTTCTGCAGATTTGGAGATTGTCCAAAAGCTTTAGTTTGTAAACCTTTTGCTGTCAACGCACACCAAGGCCTGACCATGAACCTATTTGGTGATTTCCATAGCCCTGTACTAGTTTCCAGATTAGAACCATAACAGGGTGTAGGGAGACCTCTAGTGGTTAAATAAGGGCATAACCAGCCAGTTGCGGGCTCTTGCCTTGTGCCACTGACATTCCTTCAGTCCAGGGGTTCTCAAACTGGGATGATTTTGCTCCCCGGCCCTAGGGAATACTCAGCAGTATCTGGAGCTATCTCTGATTGCCACCTTTTGGGGAGGCGATGCTACTGACATTTAGTAAGAAGAGGCCAGGGATGTTGCTAAATGCACAGAGCACATACAAACAAAGAATGATTTGAATTGACACGTCAATAATGCTGAGGTTAAGAAGCCCTGTGGCCGGACCTAACTGGTTTGGCTCAGTGGATAGAGCATCGGCCTGCGGACTGAGGGTCCCAGGTTCGATTCCGGTCAAGGTCATGTACCTGGGTTGCGGGCACATCCCCAGTGGGGGTGTGCAAGAGGCAGCTGATCGATGTCTCTCTCTCATCGATGTTTCTAACTATCTCTCTCCCTTCCTCTCTGTGAAAAATCAATAAAATATATTTTTAAAAAAACACTATTAAAAGGGAGGGGAGGGAGGAGTAAGAAAGAGAGAGACCCTGTTTTGTAAAAAGAGGACAAATTCTTCAATAAAATGTGCAGCTCAACGCTACTGACCACAGCAGAGATAGAAGAAATGGCGAAGTGATTTCTGGAAATGTGCAGTTTCTGTTGGGGCCAACATTGGGCACATGAATACGAATGGCAAAAGCTCATGCTGTGAAGCAAAACAGAAGCAAATGGTAAATGGGAAGCTGTTCTGAGCAGAAGAGGTGCAGGTAGAAAAAGAACTGAATCAGGGCCAGTGTTTTGAGAAAGGGAATAAGTAATGCATTTTTCAGATGATTTTTAAAATATAAATCAATTAAACTAAAAATGTTTGAGGGGAAGGGAATAAGTAATGCATTTTTCAGATGATTTTTAAAATATAAATCAATTAAACCAAAAATGTTTGAGGGGAAAGCTGCAGCCACTCCCATTACAACCATGATCCACAACTATTTCAATTGCATTCCTATATATTTTATGTTGTTGCAAGCAATGAATATAACCACTTCATACTCTACTTTTTTCAATGAATGTTGTATCTGAAATGTTTTTATATTCCTAGAGTCTCTATTATCTTTTCATTTAAAATTTTTTTCCATTATCTTTTTAAATGTCTATATTTCACAATGTAGATGAACCACAGTATAGCCATTCTCCTATGGTTTCAGTAGTTTTCCTAACATTGTTT